CAACCGCAGTTGTTGCATTCTTTGTTCATGGCAACGCATTTATCCACTACATGCGACAAGTGCTTCTGTACTGGTTTGAAAGTTAAATAGTTTAGTCTGCTTCCAGTTCTTCAGTAGCTATGTACCTGGCGTCCTGCACAAGTGCCGTTTGCTTAATTTCCACTTCTAAAAATCCAACTTCTATTTTCAAGACCCTAGTTGTCATTACTGAAATAAATGCGTGTCCCTTAAATTTTAGAAATGAGGGAGTCAAAATGGGTTAAGGGGACTAGTATAACGGCTAAATTTGGTGATGGAACTCAAGCAAGGTTCCAGCAACTTCACATGCATCGTAGCCACAACTTGTTGATCATTTATTCTTTCATATGTTAAGGTCAGACAGTTCTGCCTCACTATTTTTAATAAAAGTGAACATTTTGAAGAATTATTTTTGATGACAAAGACCAACAAGGTTATGAGGATACATGTCTTAGAGGATTGTGGGAACCCAGGACAGTTACGTGCTTCCTTACGCCCTTCATTATTTATATGGTTATTCTGTGAATTCGCCATCATTTGTCTGATGCAACTGTGGGCTCTTCTTCCTTTTTACCTTTGCTAACAGGTAGTCTGCCGAAGAGAGAATGGGCGTTGAACACAGTTGAGATTATGGAGTACGCAGCCCTAACGCGGTTGAATAGAACAATCACATGCACACTCGAACATTCTGGAATTTGGAGCGGAGATGCGTATCGAGTTGGGGAGCAACTGTAGTCATGAGTGCAAAGACCTCTCAAGCAATCAACAACCATTACCGAATTAGCGCACCCAAAACTGCATTCAAAGAATTATTTATTTATTTCAAATGGCAGGCTTTGTGATATTTATCATTAGCCCTTAAACTTTGACTTCAGCTTCCCCCAAGGGTGGGGGGTACATTTATAGCAGTTAATTAATAGCAGTTCATTAGCCGTCTCCCTGCTTCCCAGTATCTCTGGCTTTCCGTCCTTGTCTTTAGGGCTGGACACCGAATCAGGTGGGTCTTCTCCATTTCCTCCTGTAGATTACATAGAGGGCATGTGGGTTGAGTGTATACTCCAAATATGTGAAGGTGTTTTCCCAAGCAATCGTGTCCGGTACGTAGTCTAAACTCAGCAACGGCTTCGATTTTTGGCCAAAACTGCATTCAAAGAATTAGCTCTGTGTGAGTGACGTCACAACTGTAATCATTGCAACTTTAACAAAGGTAGCCCAGGTTATACGTTCTGGTTCATCGATTTCATTGAGATAGTTTAATTAATCTCGAGAGCCATTCCACACTGGAAATGTTGTCATGGAGGTTGCTGGGGTTTGGTCAAGGCACTTCAGCAATTCGCTGCAAAAGAGAAAGTGTGCAGTGGTTATTAATAAAGTGGAAAGAATGGATGTCTTGGGGGGTTTGTGAACTTCTTGATAAAATGGAACGGCAAGGACAAATAAAAGCTATTACTAGAAAATGAAAAAAAGCATAATTTCTACGGGAATCAATAAATTGTCTGTCATTATATCGAAGTCTTAAGCTCAGAGTGATTCAAAAAGAGTTCATTTTAGCCAGTAAAGCGAGAACGAAGTATTAATTCTCCAACCGACGTGGCAACATTTGCTTTTCGGCAAGTTGTGAAATTCGCCACTTTCCCAGGTGCAAATATCAGAAGAGATAATTTAGTTGTTCCGCCGAATTTTCACTTTCGTTCATTCAGTCCAGGCGAAGAAGTTGAAAATATATTTATTTATTTCAGATGACAGACGTTTAGATAGTTACCATTGGCTCTTTAGCTGACTTCGAGCTCCACAGAGAGGAGGAGGAACGTCAAAGTGGCAAAAAGTCGAGAGGTGAGACTGAATAATGATTCACGAACGCAAAGGAGACGGACAGACACAGAGGCAAAGAAAAGGTAAGATGAGTACTGTGAAATTGGTGAAATATCATACAGTAGAGTCATGGTAGTTTGATGTCAGAATCCAACTGCAGTTTATAGACTTTTTTGCCGTATAACTATATGCTGCCCAGGGTGCACCAAGTGGAGGTAAGTCTATCGCACACCCCGAAGCTGAAAATGCATTTTTGTACGAAGAGCCCTTTAATATAGGACAGTTGAAAGCCAGTATCCATGCATTGAAAAAATGAAAATTCCATGCTTATTTGGGTAAATAGTGAAGAAACAAGTTCGATTCTATTCTCTAACGGTGAGAAGATTGCATAAGTGCGAGTTGTCAGAGTCTATTTAAAATAGCATCTCTAATGGTAACTGAACACAAACGCATCTCAAAAGTATTTTGCTTCCATTGTTTTCTAAAGCCAATTTCACGTTAATAAGACGAAATGTTTTTTTACTGCTTTCCTTAATTTAAATCGAAATGTGAAAAAAAATTGAATCAATCATTTCGCATGCATGCTAGCCGTATTAGTTAAACAAAAGTGGAGATACACAATTTTCGGGTCTTTTAAAGAGGCAATGAAGTGCTAAGAGCAATTAGATCACCAGTCAAAATGCGGTGGAAATCAAGGCAAAAAAAGTGATCAGTAATGCGAAGACCGGATAAGGCAATTTGATTCCTTAGAACATGGAGCGGTGAACTGACCGATAAGAGAATATTCCACAAAACGAATCTGTAAATGTGTCGACTTGATCCTCTTTCATGTTGAGCTTGACCCGATTTCAATCACCTGACCTCGTCGCTACGAGAGAAATAAAAACAAAACGCAAAGATACCATCATAGCGAAATTTTTTTTCAACACCCCTTCCTAATATCTTTCCCAATTTAACTCAATCTCCTACTGAATTTTTCAAACAGAATGGCGGATGCACAGTTTAGATGCACTCATCCATCTAGCCAACATTTTCACCTCGTCAGTTCAAGACTGCCGCCCTTTTGGCCGCTCTGACGCACATCCGAGAAAGCGAGTGAGATGCGGAAATTTCACTTCTTCTCTACCCTCATCGAAAGAAAGTGGTGCTTTTTTAGCTTCTACTTTTAAAGAAAGATGCAGTATAAGAGGTCCATTAGGAATGTGAATTTTCTTCCATTACCACTGCAGTGGCTGATTCTGTAAAGTTGGCAAGGCAAACGTATAACTGCAGCCTCCAATGCTGCACGCTTCTTATTCTTGCAGACTCTGTGAGAGTTCATCTCACAAAATAGATTATATTGAATATTGTTTTACAATATTAATTTACGATAAAGACATAAGTTGTGGCCAAAATGACGTGAAAATGCAATATCGGCAAGGGAGGGTCTTTGTGTAAGTGTGCATGATTAGATTAAAACAGCAGGAGCGTAAGATGAACTCGAGGGGGTGGGGAGAGGGGGGGGGAAGATGGAGGGAATAAAGACAATGGAAAGAGACATAAATGGCTTTGGTATTCGAACAGAAGAAAATGGCGCTTTCTATGCAGTCGTAGTTGTAATTACCGCTGCAGCAGACTCAAGAACATCCGTGAAGTAGGCTCCCAAATCCACCTTCCAGTCCTTTGCCTCTACAAACCATTCAAGTTCCTGAAAAAGAAATATTCGTCAATATTATTATTATTTCAAATGGCAGGCTTTATGCTATTTATCATTATCCCCTTATACAATAATTCTGTGACTGTAAGGAAATGAATCAAGTGGTCAACAAGGCCTGAAAAAGCATAAAATAAACCAGTAAACGAGGGCTCTGCTGAAATAGGATATTATACAGCGAATTATATCACTTATGAAAACGAATTGCCTAATCAAAGCAATTAGAATTCAAAGTAAAAATTGTTATTAGGTTCAGATTCTCGAAACCGATATGCCCGATAGGCCTATTTAACTGCTAGTTTCTATTTTGACGATATTCCATGCGTAAAAGTGGGAAAATTAGTTTCTAAGTTGCTATAGGGGATAGTGATTATAACGCCGATGGTAATTCCAAACACAAATGTCATCTAGGGGCCTAGAGAACTTCTACCCTGGTTCACTTATAAAGGAGGACGGGTGCATGTAGTAGGGAGTTGATAATCCGTTCCACCTACCTATGAATCTTATCTGACGCATTCAATTGAGCTTGACATTTCGAGCTGCATTCTGCAGTCACACTAATGTAGGCCATAAATACACGCACAGATTTTCTGAAAATTTTATCTTGCAAGTGATGGAAAACGGATCTCAGAGACCTGACTTCTCCTTGAGATAAATATTTGTCTAAGAAGGGATTTGGCGATTGAAAGGTGTCAGGAAACCTTGCAAATCTTAATGGATATGAAAAAAATTTATACCAGTAAGCGGAAAGCTCAACCGATTCCCTTAAGCCGGGCTTCTCTTAACGTCAATCCTCCACCCAAAAAGGATGCTAGAAAATAAACTAATAAGTAGGAATGGGAGACATTTGAACATTTTTAACACCCCAGAAAACATCTCCAGAATATAATTTAATTGGATAAAATAGAAAGGCATAAGTAGAGAGAAAGAGCATCAGGCAAATTGGCACCGTAGAATTTAGCAGAACAAAAAATTTGATATGGAGATAAGAGCCATGAAAAAGGATGGCGTCTGATTGCAACTCTGCTCAACTATGCATTTACACAAACTGAAACGTGATCAACGAATAAATAAGGCTCAATTTCTTAAACATTCAACGCTATTTACACAAAACAATAATTGGGAAAAAGGTAGAATTATGAAGTTAATAAAATTTAGGTGCTGAAAATCCATGCTCATTTAGTGTTGGAATAATCAACACAAAAGCGGAGAATTTGAATACCTAATTTCAGGATGATTCAAGCCATATAATACAAAAAGCGAGTAACAAAGGAACTTTGACATATCAAAGAGGCAGAAACACGAATAAAACAAGAAGTCAACATATATCTTCGAATATGAACGGATCTACAAATATTGAATGTATCCTCCAAAGGATAAAGATTTATGAATGGGCTTGAGTGGCAAACAATAGCCTAAATAAAATTGTCAATAAGCAGATAATCGTAGCATGACGTCGACTGAATGTGTGACCATTTTAACGACAACCTAACCAGAGCTGACATGAGGTGATAGCAAAGCTTTCCCAACGATAATTGAAATACTAAACAAATTTCCTTCAGAATTAGTAGACTAACCATGAGAGCAGCATACTTGGGTCTCTTCTTGAGGTCCTTCTGCAGACAGGCCTCAACGAATTCCCGCATAGCCGGAGAGAAGGGGATTTCCATCTCCTCATTAGGAGGGAGCTGGGGAGAGGGTGACTGGAGTACGGACTGGAGTTGATGGAATGGAGACCGCCATGAGGGATAAGGGAAGTGGCCAGTAGCCAACTCCACCAGACTTATCCCCAGACTCCAGACGTCGGAGCGCACATCGTAGCCGTGGGACATTAGATCGGGGTTTATTCGCTCCGGCTAAAGGAGAACGGGGCAAATAAAATGAACGTATAACTTTGGACGCGTTAATTCTTTTTTAAGAGAAGTTTAATTGCTAAAAGACAGCGAGTGACGCACAAAAGGCTCGGGATTGAGAAAAGAAGCCACTTAGGCTCCAATCTAGGGGAATTAATGACAAAAATTAGATTAAAATTGACCCTATAGAAAGAACAATAAGTGAGAGGCTTGGGCTAGTCTTTGTAACTCCCAAATGCGCTAAAGGAACGATTTCCCAACACCCTTCTTGAGTAGAGGGGGAAAATCGTGGAGCATCTATGGAGAACCGGGGTATGTGATAGACTTACCTCCACGTGGTGCACCCTGGGCAACGTATACTCATACGACAAAATATCTATTAACCGGCAGTTGACTTCTGACTCCAAACCACCATCACCCCACTGTATGTCATATTCGACTCCTTCCATAGTACTCACCTCACCTTTTTTCTATCATTGTGTCTGTCTCTTTTACATCTTTGAATCACTCTTCTGTTCCCCCCGCCCCCTCTCGACTTTCTTTCACTTTGATGTTCCTTCCTCTCTGTGAAGCCTGAATTCAACTAAAGAGCTAATGATAACTATCAAAATGCCTGCTATTTGATATAAATAAATAAATCTATGGAGAACCTCCGATTCTGCCATTTCCGACAATTAGCCGATTTAATGAGTGAGGTTAGTCATTCCGTCCACTAGTGCAGACTGATGGACAACTAGACCCTGACAAACGCATAAAAAATAGTTCGCGTAGGAGTTAAAATTGACAACGTGGGGGATATTCAGAATAAGAAAATGGCCAAAATGTGTGAAAAATTTCAGAGTGGAAATCCATAGCTCTAACGGATCAAGAAAGAACGCTTTGAGCATTGTACACATTGCTAAAGGAAAAGAAATGATTTTATTTTCAGCTGACTTGGTCAAGTGTACGCGGATTGGACTACTGTACAAAAGTTGAATGCGATAAATGCTCCCCCCTATAATGATAAGTAGCAAAGCTATCTGCAAAATGCCAAATAATGCAAGATAGGGATGAGACGGAGATGGTGACAAAGTAAGTTACTGACAGCCAAAATTGTGAGTAATTGACGCAGTGGAAATCATAACACGGATGAAAGTAACGAGGACAATCGTCAGATGACCGAAATGTAGAACGATGTTAAAGGAAGTGGAAAAGTGGTTAAACTGGATATATTTCATCAAGGTCATTACACTACGAGGATATGCAAATGCTGATGCGGATGTGTTTACTATGGCTCGTTGAAAAAATGCTGAAGCGCAATAACGCGAACTAACGCTTACAACTGGCTTTCACTGACTGTCACAAAGGCCATCAATTGATATTTTAGCTTGAAAATCACTTAATCTCGTTTCACATGTGTGAATTGTTTTTAAAATTCTTACCTCTACTTGGTTGTAAGAAAATACGAATAGATCGACGTGACCCGACTAACCATTCAATTAAATCAATTAATTAACGATCTTTGAATATCGAAGACGCCCAAGAAGTAGATCTAGAGAAGTAAACCCACATTTTGTCAATAGAAAAATTAATGAACAAATAATTCGGAGGTTCTGGCGATAATGCAAAATATTGCTGCATTTTGGTGGAGAAAAGAATTGCCTTTCAGCTTAAAAAATCGTTAGAACAGAAAGCAAGAGACTCTACACTGATATACCAAGAACCTTTAAGTAATCGAAGCACCAAACTGTTCATGGTCATGTTGGTTCAAGGTTTGCATAGTAACCTATCCAAAGGAAGCCCTCCAATTTCAAAACTAATATATGTCACTTTGAAAGGTACTTTCTTTGTTAATATGTGTGTATCCATTAATAAATCCATAAATAATTTAATGGGAATGCTTCAGTTGATCAAGAAAAAATAAGCCTCGAGTTCTGTATCTTAGGGAAAATTTTATTGAGTGCCTGCTCAGGGTCACGTTATATCCCTTTTACTACTTTGAATAAGGAGATAATGTTGTTTATCTTGATCACTCTGCACAATATAAATCAACTTCTCAAATCATTCCTACTCTTATTAGACAGAAAGTACCTCGGCTGATATAAAATGTAACTGAAGTGATTGACAGACACAAAATTGTCTTAAACTAAACTTTGCTTTGTTCCATTGATGCCTCCGTCAAAATTTCCAAATCTTTTAGGAGTACTTAGCTGCTCTTTATGTTCATATGCTTCTTGATGATGAAATAAAGAAAATTTAAATTTGACGTACAAAGAACGACAAATTTAGAAAACATACCGCCATATAGGGTTTACAACCGACATCTTTGGTCATTGCAAGGCTGTTTACAAGGTCACCGGAAATTCCAAAATCGCATAGCTTCACATCGCCACCCTTGTTGATAAGAACATTTGAGGGTTTCACATCTGCAACAAAAAGGTAAAGATTAAAGAACAAAGAAAGAAATCTGGAATTCGTGAATGGAATTTTAGGTGCTAAATGACAAATGCATGTTAGTTCGATTAAAACGCAAGACAAACGAAAGAATTTAATAATGTACCGCAAGACTATCGCCAAACACTATTAAATAAAAAAACACATGACGCCGCACTTGTAAGATAATATCAAAATACTTTAAAGTAAATACAATATCTAACCTCTATGCATGACATGTAAGTCGCATTTCAGATAATTCAAGGCAGATACGATCTAAAGAGAATAACATGAATTAAGAGCCCAGCATATGTACAAACTATAATTTAAAGATAAACATACAGCAACTGTGATCTTTGCCAGAGCAGCTTCCGGAATAGAGGATTTGAGCTCAAAATAGACGATTTTATAAAATTTATCCAGAGAGGAGTCCATCAGCTCCATGCATATCCAACATTCACTTTCGTGAAAGATGGCGCCATAAAAGGTAACAATGTGTTTGTATTTAGATTTCATAATAATCTGAAGATCCTTCAATGATTTGCTTTTTTCCCGCTCATTTAGTACAGATCGAACAATCTAAAATTTGCCTTAGGATTCGTAATAACGCGCTACCTTTACTGCCATGGAATAATTGAGATTGCGATGCCGCATCTTTTGTACAAAAGCGAAATTGCCATGGCCTAGTTCACCTTCATTAATTAAATCATGAGCGGTAAAACCCTAGTGGAGAAAAACTATGAATCAACGGAAAAATAACTTACAAAATCAGTGCAAACATCGGGAATTGTCAATTTCGCAACGGACGGAACGGGAACAGCAGGACTGAAAAAAAGTAAAGCCTGAAAAGAAAAACTTACACAGAGCCGTTAAATGATTGCTTGTCCAGTTGCGGTATGGGGAGGTTTTGACTTGGGCGATCGAGAAATGGCATCTTGGATATTTTAATCAATCTAAGACATATTGTTAGATTGAAAGACAACCCCAGAAGTCATTAACAAAACCCGACTTCACAATGATTGGTGGGAAGAAATGGCGAAATTGCAACAAAATATGTAATTGATTGGTTAAAATACTGCAAGGTGAAAATGATACAATTTAAAGTCTCTAAGTTATAATGTAAAATGTGCATTTTTTGATAAAATTTATTAAGCGGATACATTTTAATAAACTTGACTTCAAGTAATATAAGTCTTATATATAATTGTAAAAATTTTGGATTTTATACTTAATATAATAATCTCATAAAATTTCAATTGTCATGTCATTTAGGTGAATATCATCGAGACTGTAAGCACTGTGAGTCTGAGTACTTGACGCTTTTTACTCGATGATCACCTTCTTCACGAATGTAGATTCATCATTTTTGGAATTTATTGATATTTGAAGAAACAAAAAATTTTTTTGAGCAATAAAGGCAAATATTTTCATTATATGCTGACCGTGGGATTTCACAAAGTGCATTGGTTACATATGGAGAGCTTTGTCCGAATGCAGTCCTTAGGTTCGCTTCCCAGCTATGCCTAAGAGCCTCTTGTTATTTAATATAATATATAAAATGATATGAACTATGGTTGGCTTCAATTTTACTTTAACTACGTAATTTATATAAACTCCCTTTGCATATAGCGCAATATCAAAAATTGTTTTTTCGTCTCTAATCCAATAAACCAAGCGCCAACTCTACAGTATCAGTAACAAGGTAAACTAGGACAGTTATCTATCAATATCCGTAATTTATACTGGAACAGTTTTCTTATGTCAGCACTGTTGGTTATCTCGTACACATTATACCAAGTCATCCAAGCACATAGATTAGATTAAATAACATTAAAGTGAGGCGATTTAATTAGTGGTTAGTAAATATCATTTTCATTAATGGTATAATAAAGGTTTTTTATAATTTCTGTCGAGACCATACAACTGCAAGCTGAATACCTTCTCTAAATAACCTCTAAATGCTTATAAAGCAAATAACGTATAGAATCCGTTGACATGACTCTTGTGAGAAAACGAAATATAATCATTTGCTGTATTTTCTCCTATGGTTCCTTTAAGGCACAACTTAATATTAGCCAGAGAGTTTTAAATATTATTTGCTAAATGTCTTTAAGCTCTCGTTAAACCATTTAATTCATTTTAATTTTACGATAAATTTATTTGAAATTACGTCTTTATCGAACTACAATGAAAATCACTGACCAATTAACGGTCAACCTAGGAATGTTATGTAGCAAATAAGTTGTCGCCTTCATATTTTCTTCTCCTGTATCAAGAAGTATATAGATTTATTTTTTTATTATTTTTTGCTTTTTTTCCTTTACATGCGTGTTTTTCTTTATTATATTTAAAGCTTCTTTATGTCGAAAAAGAGTGATGCTTCTCTGAAAAGGTGGTCTCTCATACGAAATTATATACTCAATCCGACTAAACTGTCAGCCAAACCCTGTGATTATTTGTACTCGGCCAATATTTTTGGCCTCTTTGAGGTCATTCAAGTTATTGAATCCCCCTCAGCTGTCACCTGGCGTTTGACACCACAGGTTGCTCCAGGATCTTGTAAATACCTTACCCTCGCAATTCCAAAAACTCCAATAGAAGTACAGAGCAGGGTGGAGGATTTAGTAGGATTCGATCGTACTGGTATAGCCGTGATCTTATGGCCATGTGAACTTCTTCTTGCTTACTTCTTCATGCTTCCTCCTGGACGTATTCAGAATGTTCTCCAGCTGCCAGTTCCCTGTAAGCGAGTTATTGAATTAGCTGCCGGTGGCCTTGGTATCGGTGGAATCGCTCTTGCGTCCGTCTTTCCCGATCTGAATTACATTGCTTTGACAGACGGAAATGAAAAATGCGTCCAGAATTTGGAAAACGTCATTAAGGAAGGTAATTATATCTTCCATTCCAAGTTAGAATCTGCGCTTCTTCGTTGGTCTAACGATATTGAAAAAGAGTAATCTATTTTTCAATTTATTACGTTTTTTGCTCTTTCATCATGAAACTAGTATTCGATATTTTTTATAAACCTATGCTTATTAATCTGCAAGATTATAATGAGATCAATTTGATTCTCGTTAGTTCGATAGAAGTTCCTTGTCTCAGGCATGTATTTGTTGTTCTTCGCTTTAAAAAAGAATAACTAAATGATGCTCTCATTTCAAGTGTTGGTTTATTACAAGTAGACCCCCGTTATTTCGACAATTACTCTTTCCACTAATCTTCAACATTCTCATTCATTATCTTTGTAGCAACCTTTTGCCTCATATGGATATTAAGCGGATCGTTGCTACCTTTTTTCATGTAAACTAGATTGACAGTTTCTGAAACGCTTTGTAATTTAGTTAGTACGCCCTTACTTCTTTCTTAGAAGTGGAATGGCTTAACGCGTTCATTTGATACTTTTGCCAGTAGGACTGTTTCGGGAGCCCCCATCTTTGAGATGGAAACCTTTTCTATTCAAGAGGCACTTTGGTACTCTGGATGCATTCACTTCTTGGTCTCATGGCACAATAATTTCTTCTATGTTTCGGCGGCATTTAACAGCCTTTATCGAGCAGGTTAAATATATGATTTTTCTTTTACCAAGTATTTTGTAGGAATCAATATTTGAAGAACATTAAAAATTTCTCCTGAATAATTAGGCAGATTTTTATTAAATTTTATTCTTCGCCTAATATTTCCTTTCAAAATTTGCCTTCTTTTCTTATTTATTTAATCTTCTTTATATATTTTCGCTTTTGCATAATTTCAGTCGTAAATCAAGCTACAGACGAACCTTTCTTATCTTTGTAATCTAGTGTGTTTCAACCTGGACTTTCTACTTATTTATGCTAGTAAGCGTTTATCGTACATTTTTCTATACATAACTTGTTTGAGAACATCGGTCTTAAGGCTCTCCTTAATGTTACGAAAAGGGTAACGAAGATCTACCTCACGAGGTGTGAATTTTTTAGGTAATTACGCGGCATAGTATGAACGAATGCTGTAAAAAGTCGTTCTGGTTCTCGTATCCTAAAATAGCTCTCGAATTGCCAGGGGCAACGAATAATTAGGTAAAACCTTTAAAATGGCCTACCACAAACAAAGTGGTGAAAATTTGTCCTCAGATATGCTTCGGAGGCTATTCTTATTTCGTTCCTCCTGAGTGCCAAGTTTGCTTAGCCCTTTCCAACCGACTTGTTCCTAATGTCTTTCCCTGCTTATTTATCTCTTTCCAATGAACTTTAAAATCTACCGCGTGTTTTCTAGTTCTTCCCGACAGAACTTACGCGTCATCTGTCTATATCCAGTGTCTAAGGTACTCGGGCTCTCTCACTCTTTGTACTAAAACGCCCCCTCACCCCAATGGTTCTTCTTAAAAGCTGCAGCCAACAATGTTATTTGCTGTCTCTCATGAGCTTACCGTGCTACTCAAAGCTTGTATCTTTGATCTTTTTATTTCCCCACGTTGTGCATTTAACACATGTCGATAATTGTGGCCTTGCCCTCTCAGTATATTTGTGTTGGTGTGTATCTGAAACTGAATTGTCAACCATTTCAAAACACACTTCCTTTTTTCTATTATTATTTTTATAGCCTATGTCAACAAATCAAGCTTGCATTTTTACCTATAAAAGGCTCTAAGGTGTCTAATATGTGAGAGAGGAAATTGAGTGGAAAAGGAGAGGTTTCCAGTTTCGAGTTCGATTAACTATTCACTGCCTCGTGTTTGGAAAATCTAACATAGAGTGTATTTTTTTGTTCAAATTGTCCTGTTCATTGGGTTAGTGGGTTATACCATTAAAATGCATTTTCTTCAATAGCCAGGATAGCAGAATGGTACTAAATTAAATTCTATTGAGGTATCAGAGTTCATTCAAATCGAATTCCTCTAATGTTAAATGATTATTGTAGAATTATCTCGATGGAATTATTGAGGAAATTATCTATGAATTTCCTGGTTCCAGATTATGCATGCAGAAAAAGTGGCCATCAGTCTGATCGAAAATGTTTTCAACTGAAATTTGTTTCAAACAAATTATTTAGAAAGGGAGGCGTATTAAGAGAGAACTATTCTAGACTTTATTGTCTTTTTACAAAAATGAAGATCTACGTGGAAGACGGTTAGTAAGTCCAATGTGTATGGGCACATGGCTTCAATTAACTAGACGGAGGGGACAGTGAACGGTCCCAGAATATTCCAACAACAAAGCGATATATTTAAAGATAGTTGTGTTTACATTTAATATTAGGCTAAAAAAGTAAAGAATATTGCGTCACATCGCATTTGAGGTTCTCGCTTTTGTAAGATTAGCATCGATCGATATTGAATGGCTCTCTGTTTTCACCACTTCTTATTTGACATTTTTCAACTTCGAAAAGATGATTCTATTGAAAGTTTATCTGATTTTGTTTCTTCTTCCCCAGGCCTTCTATTCCAAAAGATCATAATGACTGGAGGAATTCGTTCGACCTTGTATTCACCGCCGATTGCTTCTTTAATCAGTCTCATGGTGGTAAATGAGTTTTGTTGATTGCTAACGAGTTAACTGCTATTGTTGGCTATCATCTCATTTTCGTTCCCGTTTCTAGGTCTTCTGCGATGCATTGATTTTCTTCTTTCCAAGAACTCTGGTTCGACATTCCTTGCGTTTGCTCCTCTTCGAAGTAATACTTTGAAGAGTTTCGTAGAATCAGCATCGTCAGAAGAAGTTTGCGAACGCTTTCAGTGGTCTCTCAAATTTCTTAGACCAGAGGAGGTCTTTCCAGAACTTTCAGGAGATGAGGAAAAGATGGTTCCTCATATGGTCTACATCCAGCGTTGCTAGTCTTATACTTCATCTGGGCTGAATGGCTCGAAATCATTTTCAATCTATGGCATTAGATAATAAAGGAATGAGTGTGATTGACTACATCTTTGAATGCTCTTTTTAGTTCATCTTGTGACTGAACACTGAGCTATTAAGATATAATACTTACTTTTACACGGATGGTAGCCTTTGTGAATGGGCGGAAATACTCCCATTTATCGAAAATGTCCTATCTTGCTAACCTCGAAATGATTGGTATTGGTATTGTTACTAGGGCTCACGTGTCTTAAAGGCTTAAGTTGAACCAATTTTCAAATTTAGTAATTCAAATTTCAGGTTCCCAGGTAATATCCTCCACTTCATCCTACTCGTGATCATGCAGTCTCGAGCGATCAGTAAAATGAAACTAGTGATTATTGGCAGGACTTTCACCAATCCGCCTCGTTAATGCAGTATTCGTCTGATTTCTAAAAGAGTTTGACGGAAGATAGACAAGCGAAAACGGTTGGCACAAACAATGGGAAAAATAAAATGACTAATTTTCAAAGATTGTTGTTCCTTTTCATCTTCCAATATCATGCACCTTCAGAGGATTTTATATTATTTCAAAAGTATTTATTTATATCAAATGGCAGGCGTTCTGATATTTATCATTAGCCCTTTAGTTGACTTCAGGCTTCATAGAGGGGAAGGAACATCAATGTGAAAAAGTCGAGAGGGGAGGGAATAGAAGAGAGATTCAAAGATGTAAAAGAGACAGACACAAAGGTAGAAAAAAGGTGAGTCGAGTACTATGGAAGTAGTCGAATATGATATACAGTGAGGTGGTGGTAGTTTAAAGTCAGAGATCAACTGCCGGTTAATAAACTTTTTTTGTCGTATTAGTATATATTTTGCCCAGGGTGTACCACGTGGAGGTAAGTCTATCGCACACCCCATATCGGAAAATACTGAATTTGCCAATCGAGTTTTAGTTTTCTGCTCCTGCAACTTGTTTGGTAATAGTTATCTCTATGCATTGGTGAGTTAGTGTCTAATTGGCAGGCTTCTCAATGCGTTATATCCTGACCAAGTATTGATTGATTATCTCATATTCAATTATGAAATATTATCCTGAGCTACCGTAGTTATAATGTGTATTCAATATGGTTTATTTATTTCCCATAGCAGAGCTAATTAGATCTGCAACTCCTCGTCAATGGCTGGCATTCGGACTCATGAAAAGCGCGAGTGCATAAGTTAGGAGAGCATGGCCAATTAAGGGGAAAGTTTTAGAATATCTGCATTGAAATCACTAGATCAGAAGAGGCTTTCTTCATTTGGACCTTCAAGCCTTCCCCTTGACTATTCCCTTATTTCCGTAATTTGTTCTTTATATGCAAATTTTGTATGACGCAATTTCGAACAGTCGCGTATTCATTCTCCTTTTTGCTATTTACCAATTTGAAGCGCACACTTAATCAACCCAACTGTGCTTTTCGACCAACTATCACCGGCAGAGCCAATGATTTGATCCGAAAATATGATTGAATAACTGCCAAAATATTATTAAATCAGTGTAACTTATCTTTAAAACCGCTAACTTGATAGATTTCTTATTGTCAAACATTTTACATGGACACATATATAGGTATTGTAATTTTCCTTACTATACTCGGAGTCAGAAATAGGCAGTCTTTGCACAAGCCGCTTTCCAAGTTGTCAGAATAATTTTTTACGAAATGTCATTTTGAATTTACTATTTACTCCTAACAGAGCAACGGAGACCGTCTGACATGATTTTAGCATACCCTTCAATTTCCAGTAATAATAGAAAGTTGCTTCCATGAGGGAAGACATTTTAATCATTTTCCCATCAAAAAGAGGAGGAGAAATCCACGAGGAGACAGCTATGATTGTTCTGACATGAGGAAGATACGATATTACAATCGTCTATTTCTCTCCTGCATTCGGATCACGATTACATACTTTGTCATGAGGATGCGGCGGCATTTTGACAGACAGAGGAGTTGTCTGTCCTCCATTCCTCCTATTGGAAGAAGAAAAAAAGTTTAGGAGTTTAGAGTTTAGAAAATTGTGACAGTGACGGGATGATGGCCAGCAACAGTGTCTCTTCAATTACCTGTTTCCCATCATGCTTTCACTGCAAAAAATTTCATTTTTTGAATTGCAAACTGGATTAAAGCATGCTTTTTAACCTTAGATTTGCTTTCTCGGTTGTCCAAGTACTGATTGTAAAGTTGCTCCGGTTATGCTAATAAAATTGAATGTTTATTTATTAATTCCAAATTGGCAGGCGTTCTAATAGTTATCATTAGCTCTTTAGCTGACTCCGGGCTTCACAGAGAGGATGAGGAGCATTAAAGTGACAAAGAGTCGAGAGGGGGACAGAATAATAATTCACAGATGTAAAAGAGACAGACAGACACAAAGGCAGAGAAAAGGCTAGGTGAGTACTGTAGACGGGGTCCAATGTGACAAATAATAGGGTCATGGTAGTTTGAAGTCAGAAGTCAAGTGCCGGTTTATAGACTTTTTGCAGTATGAGTGTACGTTTCCCAGGATACACCACGTGGAGGTAAGTCTATCGCGCACCCATAAAATTGAATATAAAAAGTGGGAAATTCAAATAAATTTAATGTTCGACAATTATAATCTGTTATAATATACATTTTTTATAAATTAAAATCTCCATTTATGAAATGAATGAAAAAAACAACTATTGTTATTTAGGATCGAAACTGTATGGGTCTACCCAAAACTTTTCAGTTAGTGGAAATTTGGTTAGTTAAAAAACACTAATGAAATGAACAAATTCCTCCCAGAAATTTCACCATTTGTGCCAAATGTCAATAAATTACTTATAGCAGCAATTGAATCCACCACCCCCCACCCCCCAAATGTACTCCCATTTAATTCCAACAACAACAGCAACAACAACATCCCAAAGTGGGATTTGATTTAGTGGGCGTTGGTACACATGCTTTCACCAAACACTTCTCATCGAAACTCTTTCGATTTAAGCCTTTTAGAAGAGAAATGGAATTTCAAACAAAATTTACTTACTACTGCGCAATTAAGTCTCTAGGCGTTACTCAACACACTTCTGAAACATTCGAATTTTAATTTAAAATAATTGCTGAAGTAAAGTAAAGTTTGAAATAAATATTTTAAAATTTCATAATTCAATTTGGAGAATATTTCTGATTTTTCGCTTTTTTAAATAATTTCTAAATACATTATAAATATTTTCCTAGAATGTTGATGGAAAAAAATATTTGAAGAAATAAAAGATTGATAATCATATTTTTATTAATAAACTGATTATTTTAAATTAGTCATTAGGTGATTAAATCAATCGTAAGTACATTATTAAACACACATGCTGGTTTAAACAATGGTTATTTAAATTTATGTATTAAAAATGTTAGATTTAATGTGATTATTTTTACATCAAAACCTTATTAAGCGAATGCCTCTTATTGTACTAACACAATAGTCTACTCTAGTACTAATTAAAGATCCAAAACGGAAGGAAAAACTCGAGATTATTTCATTTGCTTTATTTCCTTCCCATTTTTGCTCGCCATTAGCTGCGGGAGCTGATTGGTGGAAAAAGATGTCGTTTGATTTCTTTGTGAGTAGCCATTACCAGGCATTTTGAGGTGGTCAGACGATGCTAGTGGTGGTAATGACGAAGTCGAGTGATGTCTGGACTTAGGGTTTGGATTAGTGAGACAATGGAGCTGCCATAACTGCTGCAAGGATACGAATATACCGATCGATTATGGATTATTGCAAACTAGAAATTGAGTTTTAGGACAATTGAAGTAGTTTAATGACACTGCCGTTTTTCCGCAATTTTCACAATTGAAAATTTCAGCTTATTCCAAATAGTTGCTTTGCTCCTAGTCAACTTTTAGAAACTATGTAAGTTGAGATGTGCTCTTATTTTGACATCAAAAACATTAAATTTGGCTTTAAAATATGACAGTGAAATGTAGAAAAGAATTCACGAATATATTTCGATAAGCCGATGTGCTTCTTAATCTTCCCTTAATAATATCTTTAAAGACAATTAACTTTATAGTGGCCTAAAAGACTACTCTACTCTTCAATCACGACTCAAGTTTGTCAAAGTCCCTCGCCTTGGGGAGTACATTAATGAAATCGCTTCAGATTATTTGAGCCAGATTCAGAATGCATATGCCCAGCTAATGAATAACTTATCGACATAAAGATAGTATATTTTCCAGTCAAAGGAACAAAGGTCTCATCAGATAGTTGAATTCCCCAAGGAAGGTAGGATAGTGTGAATGGCAGATACAACCGTACTCAACACAATGGGGTATAAACACTTAATATCAACAGTATTAAAAAACTACTTTTCTATTAGCCAAATTATTAATGTTACCTTATTTTAAGAGCTAACTTTCTTACGTCAGTGTTTAAATAAAGCAAAATATGCTGAATTTACTCATGTAGTTCAACATTTCAAATGCTTGTACATTCGAAACGAATTTCCGCTTTTTTTACAATAACAAAATTGTTAAATTTAACTAATGCTTGTTTTATTAAATTGGATACCAATGATTAACTACCTGCTTGTATATATCAATTAAATGGGGAGCAGTGAGCGGTCATAACTCTTTAAGTACACCTTGTGGCAGACTGATGGATAAATATGTATGAATAGGCACCAATCAATCAATTAAACTATCTCCATGGGATAGAAGAAGTTGATGTATAGCGAGTATATATCATTTGCTGAAATTATACACACCCAGAAAACATTTAACGTAACTTGGTTGAACATTAATAGCTGACTAGCTGAGGAGTCCTCTACACACATCGCCGCTCCCATAAGAGCGTTTAAGTGCTCAGTTTAATCGAGTTTGCAATGCGCTTTATCTGTATTTTGGCAATAAATATCTACTCAATAATGACCTCTCGACTATTTAAACTGTAGGATATAACTGAAGATTAATGTACTCACAATAACCTCGACATCATAAATA